TTAAAGCTGATGACACTGAATGTCGCTTGACAATTGATAATGGCCTGCAACCATTATGCCTGTTTGGTTTTTTTTTGGGGGGGGGGTTAGTGTTTTAGGAGTTTTAATACATTTTCCTCATCTCTGCAAAGAAAAATTCTAACTACCAGAATTGTATTCTGCATTCAAGATACTCTGCGCACCAGGGATATTTTTTCTTCAGTGATTTCAGTCAATACTTTACAAACACTGCTTGAGCTAGTCTCCACACAGCAGCTATCAGGGCTGGTGTATCCTAAGTGAAAGCATTGGAGTATGTAAGTGAACCTGAGGCTCTACTTGTGGCTCTTTCTAGACCTCTGTGTACTATGCTAGTTAGCTACAGAGTGCTCTCTATGGCCAGAGCCGTGGCAAAGAGTAGAATGTGACTCTCAGGTCACTGGGTTCTGCATTGTCATTTTCCAGACCCCAGTGGACGGTGTTAGTTAGCCATAGAGCACTCTCCAGGGTCAGAGTTGTTGCACAGCCTCTGTTGTTACCTTGTTACTGAGGACTTACACAATGAGTATCATTGAGTGCCATTTAAAAATTTCCCACCACTGCCATTTTGTAGTCGTAATGGTTAAGGCTGAGGCAACTGAGCGCTGACTTCATGTGCTAGATGGAGTGTATACATGCACAAGCAACTTCCTGCTGTTGCTACTGCCTTTACTGGGCTTCATGGATCCACTGTTTTCTGGTCTCCCTCCACTTCCCACCTTCCATAACTTGGTCTCTCCCGCGCCTTTGAGCATCCTTAGCATTAGCTACCTGAGTTTTTAAGTAAGCAAGGACTTGCCTCTCGTTGAGCATACTGGCTGTCCGCCACAAGGTGCAACATATCTCCTAATAAACATACAGAGGAAAGAACCACTGCAATGTATGATCTCAGTCCATACTCCTCCATTGTGTATAGAGGCAATTTCTTGGTATCTCAAGTAGGGTCTGAAGACATTTAATATCCACTTTGGAATTTGTATTGGTGTTTAGCACAATTAATGCAGCAATTTGCTTGCGGTGATTCCAAGTGTGCTTTGGCGCATTCCACAACAGAATCCAGTTGTGACACTAATTGATCTCCACCTCTAAGTGTGCCTGAGACCCCTATTGTTATCTCTGATTCAGACTCAGAATCTACTCCTTCTTCTGAAGAGCCTATATTTCAGCAACTTCCATACATCTCAGCTTTACAAGGAGTCTTTGATACTCTGATTGATGCAGTGCTTTCCCAGCAATTGGAGGATCGGCCATGTTCCAGACATGGTTGTCTTTTAAAGCTGTTGCTCCAAAGACCTTCCTGATACACACAGTATGTAAATTCTTCCTCTATGAGGATTGGGAACAACCTGTGGAATAATGTCTTCCCTGTCTTCATGAGCTTTTTTCATTTGAAAGAAATCTAATTGGTAAGTGGGCTTTACCTACTGTTTCTTTCCCTATTTTTGCGGGTAATTGCGTCTATGGTTGCGGCTGAGGGGTTGTTAATGTGAAATGGAGAAAAACTTTAAGGTCTATGAAAGAGAAAGAGATTTCATGACTTTCTGGATCAACAGGTATCTTTTCCTTTGAGGGCCTGCATCTTCTGAATACTGTGGCAGATTTACACCCTACCAACAGCACTGATATGTCTACTCTAGTGCTTGTTTTTTTTCTTAGCTTCCCCATTGTGGAATGCTATAGAGACCCTCAGTCAATGTTTTCTTGCAGTTCCCTGCTTAGCCAAGGACTCTGCTACCTTACAGGGTAATATCCTTTTTTTATTAGTTCTATTTTCACAGGGAAGTGCTGACATTAACATTGGGGGAGGGAATAAAATGTTATCCTTTAATGTCACTAACTGTGTGGATGGAGGAATCTCCCACTGGGCCAAGCTTCAGTATCTTGCTAGTCAGCCCCGCTGGCTCTCAGGACACTTGAACAATGCCTGCATCCAATTAGATTGTTCAGGTATTTTCCTTTTGCTTGGGCATACCTTATTTATCCATCCATCATTTCCCTGAAGAGAAAAGAAAAGGGTATTTAACATAAGTCTCTGCTTTTACCTGGCTGGTCTTTTTGCTTGGACATTCCTGGTCTGTCCAACGTTCGTTTCCCTGCAGTTAAGGGTCATTGGTTCCCAGTAAACTCCTTTTTTGTTAAACACCTTAGCTGTTAGAACAATAAACTATCTGTTTGTCACATTGTCAGTTAATATCCATCATTCTTTCCGGTAACAGTTCCCCTTAGAGGTGTTTACTTGTCCTAGTCTGGAACACTAGGTTCATCCTCAGTGTTCTTTTCTTTGTTCTTACTGTAAAATAATTTTCTGAAAGTTCAATGAGGGACACAGATCTTGTCCCTCTGTATTAAGGACTTCTATACTGCTTGCTGGCTTTAACACTTTTTTTTTTCTGCACATATTCACCCAGTATCCTTTAGTATATACTAACCAAAGTCTGGCCAAGCAACTTATGTTCTCCTTCTTTACTTTAAAGTGGATCTTGCACCCAAATGGAAGGTCCATTTTTTTTTTTTTTAAATAGTGGCTCACCACCCACGCCAAAACTGCACATTTCATCCTTAAAAAAACAAAAGTATATACACATCAGATTCTTTATTGCTTGGTTCTTCTAAATAATTTCAAGTGGATCTGTCTATTGTGTAAAAATTGCTAATTTATTTATCCAGGCAATGCAGATTCATGAATGGTATTATTATCTGTTGATTGTATGTGAAAGTATGGGGTTTTAGCACAGTCCTACTGACCCTTCAGTGCTTTTTTGTCAAACTGTAAAAAGCAGCAATACATGAAATAAAATGGCATCTCATACGACCTTCATCCTATATAAAGCTTGGCAGTAGTGATCTCTCTTTAAAGAAATAACCTCTATTGAGTGCCTTTCTCCCTTACCGTCATCCTTTTTCTTGCTCTCCTTCTGTCATTTGCCATTTTTCTTTCTTTTGTTCTCTCTCAATCTTTTGCTCTCCCTCTCTCTCTTTATCTCTGTTTCAGGAGGTAGCATGAAACAGAGAAATAATTGCAAACTTAAAAATGGTGTCACATTCTTCAGACTAAAACAGCCAGACAGCATGTGGGCACACTGGTAGAGCCAAATACAGGCTGCACATTAGAGGAAACCAATTTATAGATATACAGTCTCATTATGAATGCCTTAGGGGTTTCTTCTGGTTTGTCTGGAGATTCTTTTTATGCATTTTATTATTTTAGAAGTTTTGCATATTGACCACATCCATTGGTATACTGTATATGATACAGCTAAGTGCATAGCTTAGTTACATAAAATAAGCTGATTTTCCTGCAAAATGACTTGTAATTCTGTGCTGGCAGTTTTGTAATTTGGGCACCTCTTTTGGAAAATGACTACAGCTTCCTGTTTTACTTGCCTTCTATTTGTACAATGATACAATGATTCAATCACAATGTGATGAAGATGTTGAAGGGTATGTCAACCCTAAGGCCTCACCCACACGAGAAACGGCCAACACGTACAGCTCCGTGCTGCATGCACAGCTGTATCGGGCAGCTCCCAGGAAGGACAGGTGCTGCGTGTCATTAGTACGCAGCCCCTGTCCTTCTCTATGGGACTATGCGGCCGTACTCCGCCCCTCGCTCACCCGCCCTGCACGTCCGTGCTGGTGAGCGTACTCGTACACTGACAGGATGGATCCTGTCTGCGTCCGAGCCGGGACACACGCACCCGTATGGACATGCAGGAGGGTGAGCATAGGACGGTGTACGCCCGCATAGTCCCATAGAGAAAGACAGGGGCTGCATATTAATCACACCCACCACCTCTCCTTCCCGTGAGCTGCCCGATACGGCTGTGCACGCAGCACAGAGCTGTACGTGCCGCTCGTTTCTCGTGTTATTGAGGCCTAACAATGAACTTCTTGCATTTACTCCCTTTTAGTCTGTTAACTATACCAATTAAAAGTGTTATCTTGTGTAGTATTAATAGCCCTGTCAAGTCCAACTCCTTGAACAGAATACCCACAATGTTATGTAGATGAGGAGAATGGAAAGTGTCCTCTAGTCCAAACACTTCCTGTCCTAAGGTAACAACACTGCTCCTCTATTTATGCAGTATAGTGAGTGCACGTTGTCACCCTAGGACAGGAAGTATGCTACTGGTAAGATCACCAGCTGAAACTAAAATATAAAAGAAGTCCAAAAAAAAGGAAACTCATTCAGCCAAAACATCCAAGGACTGGTAAACTGTATTTAAACACAAGAACAAAAATGTAACACATTGCAGCTTAACTGTCCAATGAGCAAGCTGGATGTGGAATTGTAACACTAGGAGCTACCATGCTATAATAACAAAAGGGGTGCCAACTGGCCCTACGGTGTGACAGAGGTGTGCAAATTATAAGCCAGGTCCAAATTTAAAAAAGGTGTACAAAAAGTCTTTAAAAAATATACAAATATGCCAGTAATTCAACCCCCCAAAACCTGAATCTGCAACTACTAGAGATCTACAGACTTGTGGTGTGATAAAATACCATATCTGATCAAATAGATGAAATAAAATAAGTGAGTTTAGTGTCACTTTGACTATTGCATAAAATTAACTTTTGTCCAATACCTAAAACATGGTGTCAAATAAAAAGGGGGTATTAGGCCATAATTGTGGTATGGTGTTTTATCACAACACAATTCTGCGGCTCTGTAGTCGTCACAGATTGAGCTTTTTTTTTTCTTTTTTTTTTTGTAGGTAAACTAGTTCACATTTTAGTATATGTTTCTGTTGCCTATTTAGCCATTTGACTGGTGTTCCACTTTAAGAGTGACTGGCACTCCGTCCGCAAAGGGCAATTTGTACAGATTCCCTTGGCCAAGAAACAAGGTGGCACTGGAAATTATATGTAAATACTGGAAAGAGCGATGGAAAAATGTATAAGTCTCAGCATGACAGAATGTTTTAATGTGTGATTTCTATAGTCGAGGCAGAATGTATAATGCTGTTTACCTCTCTTGTTAGGATTTGAAGGCTGTGCTGTCTTACCCTCAGTACCCAGGGGAGTTCCTGCACCCTGTGGTCTATGCCTGCACTGCTGTGATGTTGTTGTGCCTGTTCGCTTCTATTATCACCTACATTGTGCACCACAGGTAGGACGCCTCTTTTTTTCCTACTTTACTTACGTAAGTATAATTATGACATTTTTCTGAATTGCTTGTTAAATTGCAGTGTTGCTAATATACTGGGGACAATACAAAACGCCTGAGCTGGCTATAGACTTACAGAGGAGATGTTTCCTGAAGCACAATACAATTTAAAAGCATCCTTAATATTTTACCAATAAACAATATTTTTTGTTCGGTCTCCATGGATGTCCTGTGCCCTCATACTAGCGGAAATAAAACTTGAGGAACCTAGATTTTATAGTTAGCTGCCAGAAGAGCCTCAAAAAAATCTTTCTATATTCTTTTCAATGTTTTGAGAGCTGGTAGTATACATTATTGTTTTGCATTGCTTAACAAATAATATGTGTTGTGTTTATGTAAACAACACCTAAAATTTTGTTTTGGAAAACAAGATGGCAAGGACAGAGATACACATTTGCAGCATTTTACTACTACCAAGATAGCAGCTGTGTCATTGTGCATGTGTAGGTGATGTGTATGTACCATCTATACATGATTTAAAAGGGCAGTGCAAAGTTTGGGATGTTTAGCCACTTGAATGCCAGCCACCATTTTAAAATGACACAGAGATAGCGTCTATTTGTCCCAGCTCCGTTTAAAAGCGGCAGCCAATCTCTTCGGCTCCTGCTGGCACCAGCACTGGAACTGCTGGCTGTGTTTGACAGTTGTGATGTAGTGCTAGGTCTAGGAACTTGAAAGATCAGCTATTGGACTTTCCAGTGCTTCTACAGCTCACTCCATAGGGGCGCACTATAGAAGCAAATGTGAACAGTATGCTTCCGTATAGTGTTTACGTCAGGGGTGAAGTGCTGTCACGACAATTCCTCAGAGTACAAAGACAGGGACAGAGCTCTAAAGCATTCCTTAGCAGCACTAGATATACGGTATTATATACACACATATTGGGGGGAATGTATCAAAAATGGAGCAGACAAAATCTGGAGCAGCTGTGCATGGCAACCAATCAACTTCTCTTTTCAGTCCGTTCAGTTAAGATTTGAAAATGAAAGGTGGATGCTGATTGGTTTCCATGCACAGCTGCTCCAGATTGTCTGCTCCAGTTTTGATAAATTACCTTCATTGTGCATCTATCTATCTATCTATCTATTCCTAAAATTAAACAAAAATATTGCCTCCCCATATTAATCCCTAGACCTCTGGATGACATTTGTGTTCACTGCAAAAGCATTAAATGCTTATGCAAGTGAACACAATATAGTATGAATTTTTAGCAAACCTGTGAAAAAGTCCTTAACCAGAAAATCGCCATCATGCTAATTTGTGCTCCTTGTCAACTCGACTTAATCTTATCTTAATGGTGTGCTAACAATTTGCACAGTTTTTTTCCCCTGCGAGCCTCCCAATGTAGAGTCAAAAGAGGAATAACGCTCTTCTACCGTAAAATGCAGATAGTCACTTTGAGCTTTAGACTTCCTCTACGTTACATAAAAGTCACACTAATATGACATAATTTTATTCAACAGACTTTGTTGATTATATTTTGGGGTAACTATATGGGGGCACGCAGATTACATAAACGCTGCGATACGAAAATTTACAAAATGCATCTTTTAATTTTTTTTTTACTATTCATTCATAATAAACACGAAGAAAATAAACCATATGTACCAAAATAGCTACCCAATTAAAGCCCTATTTGTCCTGAAAATAGAATATATTACATTAGGGCAGACTACAAAATCTAAATAATATGTGCAGAACCGAGATGTTGCCAAAGTGAAAAAAAGAAAAAACACTCTGGGACTCGGGGATTCAGGACAAAAAGGCCTGGGGACTTAAGTGTTTAATAATAATAATTATTATTATTATACAGGATTTCTATAGCACCAACAGTTTGCACAGCGCTTTACAATATAGGGAAGACATTACAATCACAATACAAATCAAGACAAGATGGTAAGGAGGGCCCTGTCCGTGAGGGCTTACAATCTAAAAGAAGAGGGGGAAGTGATACATGAGGAGGGAGCTGTGTGGGGATGAATTGTTTGAGAACGTGGTGGTTGAGCAGTTAGGTTGAGTTGGGATAGGCTTCCCTGAAGAGATGGGTCTTCAGGGAATGCCTAAAGGCAGAGATGGGTCTTCAGGGAATGCCTAAAGGCAGTCAAGGTGGGCGACAGACGGACAGGTTGGGGTAAAAAATTCCAGAGGATGGGTGAGACTCTAGAGAAGTCCTGGAGGCGTGCATGGGAGGAGTGGACAAGGGGGCTGGAAAGCAGGAAGTCTTGGGATGAGCGGAGCCGACGGTTAGGGTGATACTTTGAGACCAGGTTTGAGATATAGCCGGGGGCGGAGTCGTGGATGGCTTTGTAACTGATTGTTAATATTTTGAATTTTATCGTTTGGGCGAGTGGAAGCCAGTGCAGGGATTGAGAGAGGGGGGTTGCAGACACTGAACGGTTTGTTATGTGAATGAGTCTAGCAGCTGCATTCATGATAGACTGAAGGGGGAATAGCCTGTGTAGTGGAAGGCCAATGAGGAGGGAGTTGCAATAGTCAAGACGAGAGATAACAAGCGAGTGGATGAGTCATTTTGCGGTTTCTTTGCGGAGGAAGTGGCGTATTTTGGAGATTTTACGTAGGTGAAGGCGGCAGGATTTGGAGAGTGATTGGATGTGGGGAAGAAAGGTGAGGTCCGAGTTAAGGATGACACCTAGGACCTTGGCATGGGGAGGGGTGGATAGTTATGTTAACAATCTGTCAGGGATACCGGCACAGGTGACCCCACACCTGCGCAGGTACCCACACAGGCAGACCAAACACTTATGACCACACCGGACAGGGCAGAATGTTTTATATACAGTTTAATCAACAGCAAACTAAACAACACCCAAAAGCAAACATAAATAAGTAACATCACCCAGACTACTAGCAGGTAAAGGCAACAGGAGGACAAGCAGGTAATGGCAACAGGAGGAAAGGCAGGTAATGGCAACAAGAGGACAAGCAGGTAATGGCAACAAGAGGAAAGGCAGGTAATGGCAACAAGAGGTATCTAGGCCTGCAAATGGGTAACCGGGCTCAGGACACAAACAGGGTACAGGACTGGTAACAGGACTCTGGACGGAAAGCAGGATTCTCCGGAACTGGTGACTCAGGGTTCAAGTTTCATGAAACAGGAAACGATACTGAGCCATCATCCTGACTGCAGGGAGGGTTTAAATATCCTCCCAGGAAGCACCAGGTGATGGCTAAGTACTGGCAGCTGGGAAACACCCGCAGGTGAGCACTGGAGCTGCAGGTCTCCGCTCCTGCGCCACCTAGAGGCGCTCTGGATCCTAACACAATCTCAAGGGAAAAGTTGGGGGAAGGTGCACGGGCAGGAGGAAATATCAAGAGCTCAGTTTTCGAAAGATTGAGTTTTAAGAAGTGTTGCGACATCCAGACGGATATGTCAGATAATAGATCAGTGACACGAGAGGACACTGAGGGGGAGAGTTGCGGAGTAGAAAGATCGATTTGAGTGTCATCGGCATAGAGATGGTATCGGAAGCCATGTGAGGTTATTAACTGACCAAGGGAGGAGGTGTAGATAGAGAAGAGAAGGGGTCCAAGGACAGAGCCTTGGGGAACCCCTACAGAAAAAGGAAGAGGAGGGAAGGAGTTAGATTTGTAGGTGACACTAAAGGAGTGCTTAGATAGGTAGGAGGAGAACCACGAGAGAGCAGAGTCTTGTAGCCCAAGTGACTGGAGTTTTTGGAGGAGGAGCAGGTGGTCAACAGTGTCAAAAGCAGCAGAAAGGTCTAATAGCAAGAGTAGGGAGTAGTGGCCTTTGTTTTTGGCAGTGAGTAGGTCATTAGTGAGTTTTAGGAGGGTGGTTTCAGTGGAGGTTAGGGGGCGAAAGCCAGATTGTAAGGGGTCGAGAAGGTTGTGATCAGCGAGGTGGCGGCTGTAGATTAGGCATTCTAGGAGTTTGGAGGTGAATGGGAGTAAGGAGATTGGTCTGAGATTGTTGAGGTCAGTAGGGTCCATTGAGGGTTTTTTGGGTATTGGGGTGACCAGGGCATGCTTCAGAGGGGAGGGAAATATTCCAGTAGAGAGTGAGAGATTGAAAATGTGAGCAAGAGAGTCTAGGATAGAGCAAGAGGGTGACTGAAGTAGCGGTAATAATAGTCAATACAAAAAAGTAAAAAAAAAAGTGGTAGTGTGGATATAAGGATACTAGATAAAAGCCACTTTTACATATCTGTGTTTGTCTCAAAAGTAATAACAAATGCTTACATGCAAAATTGTGTCAAATAAGTGGATGTTGAGCACTGATGCCTAAGCAACACTACAGACAAAAGCAGTCATGTTACCAATCTGGTTCTTTTAAGGTGCCCATACACCTGCTGATTATCGTACGATAATCGTGGGAAATCCCGCGATCGTATGATAATCGGCAGGTGTATGGAAGGCGTGCAACCGTTTCTACTGTACGGTCGCATGTCTTTTGTCTTATGAGCAGGTTTGTGGCCTGCTCGTAAGACAAATGCCGCACGGGCCGGTGTGCGCAAGAGCCCACTGCACGTTCAGCATTGCAGTCATTGGGAGCCCGCCCCTCAGGGCTTGCGATGATCGCTAGTACAATCTGCTTATCTAAGATGGGCAGATTGTACGTTTTTTTAATTACCTTACAACCATCGCAAGACAAAAGTCTTGCGATGGTTGTAAGGTGTATGGGCACCTTTATTCTCTAGTGCAACAGTGGCTGAAAGTATTAACAGGTGTGCACTTCTACCTCCATTCCAGATAAAGCCCAGCATTCCCTAAAGCTGTCAATACCTTTAAGCCAACATGTGCAGCACTGCAAGGAGAGGATGACAACGCTGCTGAATTTTCAGCAGCAATCTAGCAGCCTTGTTTACTAGACATGTAAATTAAATTTAGTTCTAAATGGAGATTTGGACAAAATGTTGTGAATTTGGACATAGAGACGAGTCTGGGCTTGGTCCAAACCCAATTCG